GGGAGCGGGGCTGGCCAGGGGAGCTCGGGAGGAGGAGAACCGGCCAGAAGGAAGCAGGGCTGGCGGGGTGGGGGAAAAGTGAATTGGCCGGTGGGGAGTGGGACTGAGCAACGCCGGGAACTCCAGCTAGTAGTATATATTTACCTGTTGGACAATTATAACATCTTTCAAGTTGTGTTGTATTATTCATTACAAATATGCCATCTGTGAATTCTTCCCTTTGACTCTCAGTATGGCATCTGTCAACCGTGTCACATAATATTGCATTTTCCTCACTGATTTAGGAACTAAAACATTTTAAAAAGGAGATCAGCAAAGGACATGAGGTATTTTTGTTCACGTATCAATACCCGGAGATACGTGTAGTCATAAGAAGAACAATTATTCCAAAAAATCTGTGCAAATATGAACCCAGTCATGTGAATTGTTGTGAAGAGTAAATGAAATGTGGCACAAACCTTCCTGAGCCAAAGCTGGCACTGGGTTTGCAGTATTTGATCAGCTTTCATTGTGGCCCTAATTTGGCTAGGAATATTGTCTGCTACAAGTGACTGGCTTGTTTGGATACTCAAGATGAGAAAATTCAAACTAATGTATAGTATATGACTCCTTAATTCAAATCTGACAATTTAACGTTCAATTCCCAAACTGGATGAGCACTGTTTTCACTTAATGTCCTTAAGTATTACTTTATTCAAGTCACATATTCATTACGTTTGAATACAATATATAAGGATTAATAGAGCTTTCATGAAACAAAACATTTCTTAAGTATAAGAAAGAGAAGTTAGAAAATAAGGTAGTACAGCAACAACAAAAAAGGTTAAATAAGCAAGTCGCTATACAAGCATAATTACATAAAATTGGACTCCCTCCATGGATTTATAAACCCACAGATAGGAACTCTGAATTGGAAGAGGAGTGTCATGAATTTATATGGAAAAGAACGTAGGCAATGTACAATGGCATCCCTTCTCGGGGCTGACTGTGCATATCCAGGCTGTCCCTCAAGTAGCCATTAGACTCTGCCAGTGGAAGTGAAAAATACTATTGCAGAGAGAATGATCTGGCACTGAAACTGTGTCCTGTGCTGAATAAAGTGCTTGCTCTACTGTTCATTCTGAATATCATGATTTTATTTACAAAGCAATCCTTTCCCACCTATCCTGGCTGCAATAAAAGATAGCATGAATGAGGATACCATAAAACAAATAATATAAATGCAAGACCTGTTAACTCCCCTCCCTGCCTCCAGTATGCTCTTACAGTGCATACAAGTTCTTTTTCAAGGGCCTTGTCCCTGTTGTTAAGGAGCCAACAGTTGTCTCCAGCTGCCAGAATCCAGAAAGGAACAAGCCCAGTTAATAAATAAGTTAAGGGGAAAATGTGTATTTCTGAAGAACCTGGAATTTTGTTTAGAAATTTAAAGTACTAAGAGATGCACTGCACTGGCTAAGAGAGGCCACCCACTTTTAACCCTGTGTGGTGCTGAGAGCTTTCTCTTCTAGTGTTGTACCAAATAGAAGCAAGCAGGATCTTATGAGGGGGATAAGGCAAAAAGCCACATTTATTGTAAAGATAATAATAAAAAAATAAAGAAAAGATAGAAGCAAACAACGTTGTTTAACTACTTAACCCTTATACATATAAACATTCATTCATCCATTCATTCAGGTTCTGTGTATTGTTATAGTTACCAGCCTGGAAGTTGCTTGTGACAGAATACTGGCCAGGTATTCTGTACACAAGTGATGGTAGTGGGGAGCGAAGTCCTGATCAGATGCACATTTGAAGCTCCTGGTAGGCTGGCAGCAGAACCTTGGACTCTGATTCCATAGTTTTTTAGTCCAGTTCTTATAGGAATTTTTTCCTATGCCAGTCTATGGAAATTGCTGCATCATGCTGATGTCTCCAGGGTGGCTGCCAGGTGCTCATCAGTGATCTCATCGGATGGACCTCCAGTACTTGGTTTTCTCCACTTGACACCTTTTGGTTGCACTGGGGCTATGTCTAGACTGCAAGCCTCTTTCGAAAGAGGCTCTTTCGAAAGATACGTGTATTTGTTGTAGTTACCAGCCTGGAAGTTGCTTGTGACAGAATACTGGCCAGGTATTCTGTACACAAGTGATGGTAGTGGGGAGCGAAGTCCTGATCAGATGCGCATCTGAAGCTCCTGGTGGGCTGGCAGCAGAACCTTGGACTCTGATTCCATAGTTTTTTAGTCCAGTTCTTATAGGAATTTTTTCCTATGCCAGTCTATGGAAATTGCTGCATCATGCTGATGTCTCCAGGGTGGCTGCCAGGTGCTCATCAGTGATCTCATCGGGTGGACCTCCAGTACTTGGTTTTCTCCACTTGACACCTTTTGGTTGCACTGGCACCTGACGCCTTTTTCAGCCCTTTGTTGCTGTATTCTCAGGCTGGCACCTCTCAGAACCATTCATTCATCGTCCAAGCACTCTCTCTCTCTCTCTCTTACATACATTCCCTAATTAATGTTTCCCATACAGTATTTTGTATAATAATAAAAGTTGTAGTTACAAAAGTTTCTGGGTGGTATTGCTTAAAACATTCTCTGAACAGGAGTCAATTATGTAACAATGCCCTTAGTCAATTACAGGGCTTGGCTCTCATAGCAGAGTTAGTGCCTTGACAATGCATTGTTACAATGTATCTCTGCAATGTCAATTTCAAGCAGCCCCTTGCACAAGCTTGAGCATGTCCTGGGACACAGAGGGGGGGCTGTTTCTGGCTACATAGGATTATATTTTTAACAGTTCTAAGTTACATGACCTAATACATTATATTCTAAAGGGGCAATAATAATAATAAATCTAAACATTTAACAATCTTAACAAATAATAATAATAAGAAGAAGAATTAATAATAAATCTAAACACTTTAAGTTGTGGGGAACAAATTATGGGGAGTCACTTCCATTTGGAGGAATCATTTTCAATACATTAATATGTTATCCCTACACTAGTCCAATGTCAGCTACATTTTGAAGTGCTAATCAGTGCTTGGCCTTGAGCGCTAACACATGTAGAAGGAAGCATAAATTAGAACAAGCCCTATAGAAGGTACCCTGCATGTGTGCAGTGCAGAACATCTGGCAAATGGTAGGGGAAAAATGCTCTCACTCAAGTCTTTTAATCAATAAAAGCCAATAAAGGGGATATTCAATACTTCTCCAAATCTCTTTATTAAAGAAGGAGTTTATGGACAGCAGGATCACTGAAATATCTAGACTAATGGAATGTAGTATTAATAAACAATGTACTATGAAAGGGAATATTAGCTAAGTAGGAAAAAAGCTCTGGAATACTCAGTTATGAGATTTGAGGTTATGGGCACAAGCAGCTAGACATCTCCTGCATCAGGGCCTCTCCATAGCTTTGGCCTCAGCATATCATCTGAGGTAGAAATGGATCTCACAGATCTTCTGGATTTTGTGGGCTATGTCCACTAAGGGAAAGACATCACGGACACTGTAAATGGAACTCCACAGAATTTCCAGCTTCCTTCCAGGGCCGGATTAAGAAAAGGGGCTTTACAGGGTTACAGTGGGCAGTGCAGAGCCACCTGTCCCCTTAACTCCCCCACCCCCCAAACCGAATCTGCCCTCGGTAAGCACCCTGCACCCCAACCTCCTGCCCCAGCCTTGAGCCCGTCTCATATCCTATCTCCCAACCCCCACCCCCAATCCTGAGCATGCTCCTGCATCCTAACTCCTGCCCAGACCCCCACACCCAATCCCAACCTCCTGCCCTGAGCTCATTCCCTTGGCCTCAGCCTGGAGCTCCCTTCTGCACCCCAAACACCTCATTCCAACCCCACCCCAGAGCAACCCCTCATTGGAGACTGCACCCCCTTTCTGCACACACCCTCCTGCCTCAACTCACCGTCCCCTTCAGTATACTGAAACCCCTCATTTTGACCCCATCCTGGAGCCTAGGGAGCTCCATAAAATCTAATAGCCCTGGGCCCCCAGAAGAGTTAATCCGGCTCTGGCTCCTTCGCATGCAATCTAGACAGAGGGGCTATCTAGCCCTCTCTTAGGAACAAAGAACAAACCACAGATAACTACAGAGAACTTAATTAATGGTGGGCTGAAATGAGTGTTTCACTAATGAGAAAACTGAAATTAATTAAATTGAATGAAGAAATTGTGAACTTTCTTTTTCAATTAGGAGGCTCTGCGGCTTATGGATGAAGTGAAAGAACAATTAGAGGAAGAAGAAAGACAATGTCAGGTGGCTCTGAGAAATCTCTGGGATGAATGTAAAACTTGCTTAGAAAGTAATTGCATGAGATTTTATACCACCTGCCAGCACGGTCTGTCAACATTTACAAGTAAGGTAAGAAGAAAATCAGCCTCCGGCAAGCACTCTTCCTTTAGTTGCTGCTTCACCTAACACTTTTAAGTGAGTACAACTTGTTTTCTCAAATGGGCAGATACACCATGGTTGTGTCTACATTGGCATGATTTTTTGCAAAAGCACGCGCTTTTGCGCAAAAACATGCTGCCTGTCTACACTGGCGGGGAGTTCTTGTGCAAGAACACTGACATTCTAATGTGTGAAATCAGTGCTTCTTGCACAAGAACTATGATGCTCCCACTCAGGAATAAGCCCTCTTGCGCAACTGTTCTTGCGCAAGAGGCCAGTGTAGACAGGCAACATGAATTTCTTGCGCAAGAAAGCTTGATGGCTAAAATGGCCATCGGAGCTTTCTTGCGCAAGAGAGCGTCTACACTGGCATGGATGCTTTTGCACAAAAGCGCATCTCTTGCGCAAAAGCACATGCCAGTGTAGATGCTCTCTTGCTCAAATACTTTAACGCAAAAACTCTTGCGTTAAAAATATTTGCACAAAATCTTGCCAATGTAGATGTAGCCCATTAGTATTAGGTTATCAAAAGCCATTTGATATTGGGATCTGGATCCATGGATTTGTACAGAACAGACCTCATCTGGCTTCAGATCACTGCACATTGAAGCTGTTCTGTGACATTGGTATAATCACAGAGTGACTCCAGTGAAATCAATGGAGTAAATCCGTTCCAGATTTATAACAATGCAACCCACAGTAGAATTTGAGTTAAGATGTTCAGAAATCATTTGTGCTAGCTGTGAAAAATGCCACTTTTGTTTTTCTTCTGAGAAACAGCAAATCTTAAACTGTGGCTATGATCAGTAAAGTGACCATTTAAAAAATTCCATCTTCCTATACAACAGCTCTCCTGCATGGGTTTGTTTATTCCAGTGTTTCTTAACCTTTTTTTATGAAGTGCCCCTTTAAAAAAAAGTAAAGTACCCCCAGTGACTACAGTTTTTAGACACAAATTTTTTTTTCTACCATTGCAACACATTTGTTTAAACAACTTAATCGTAGCCGGGCAGGCAATAGAATTTTTGGGTGTAAAAAGTACAAAAATAATAAAGTGCTATAAAACTTTTAAAAAAAATCAGTTTTCTCTAAATTTCAGTTGTTGGCATATTCCTTCCCCCCAAACTTCTCTCAAATACCCAAAGGGTACTCGTACCACTGGTTGAGAAACACTGGTTTATTCCATGTCATATCTACTATTTTTAAAGCAAAGGTACATTTTTTACTACATTTAACTCCAGTTAACACTTCAGTGCCAACACAGTTCTGGGGACAAGGATAGATTCTTTCTTACCATGTTCATCATCAGCAGAATTGTGACCTAAATACTAACTGCAAAATCTTTACCTCAAAGCATACATTTTGATTACACCTTAACTTCACCTGAATACACCTCAGTTGAGTCAGAGTTATTAATAATAACGTGCAGCTCAGAAAGAACACAGTTTGTTTTTCAGCTCCGAGGGCAAATCTGCTATTTATTTTTTCCAGGTTAAAAATGCACATTTGCTCTGAAAGGCACTAAATAATAAACTTGAAACCCAATCATGCCATTTTTATAAAATAATTTTGAGACATATCATACTTTAAATTCATACAAGCTTTAGCATCATGTTGTCTTTGGCATTATTTGGTAATCTTCACAGTGAACTCTATGGATTCTATGAAGACCTCACATTGGTAGTTGTAATGTGACAAACATTTAAAAATAAGAAAGAAAAGTTTTTTTTGAGGCCAGCTCCTGAAGACTTTACTTAGTTCTTTCTTGGGCCAATCTTCCACTGATTTAAAAAAATCTTGAGTAGGAACTTGAGGATTTGGGCCTTGGAGAGAGAATTATTGATGTCTGAACAGCAGAGAAAGAACAATTGCTATCTGTTCAACGTGTATTTACTACATTACTACAGATTGAACTCTAGTCCGGAACGCTCTGGTCTGGCAACATCCTTAGTCCGGCATGATTTTAGTTAGTTGGATGTCCAAATTTCAAGGATGCGACTAAGTTTCCTGTGTTCCCATAAAGTTTTACAGACACCAGTCCTGGCTCAGTATTTTGTGCTGTTATTTAGGTCTAATTTACCCCTAAATGTCTTCTAAGAGCCTGGTAAGCAGTGGAAGTGTCGATAATGCTGCTAGACAATATTGACCTCCCATGGTCTGGCAAATTCTCTGGTTCAGCACCGTCAGTCACGAGGGTGCCAGATTAGAGAGGTTCAACCAGTATAATGCAGCTGAGCTCACAATGGTGTTTCCTAGATGAAAACTAAATTATTTGTTAGGTGATGCCCAAATGTAATTTTGGGACCCTGACACAACTATTAACACAAACCTAATGGCTCAGAAGATTAGCGGCCAACTGGTTCAAAGACAGGCATCCTCTTTAATGTAAATATTAAAACCCTGCAGACTAATTTCTCAATAGTTTTTGGAAAATAGGTTATAATTTGGAAAATGGGCTAGATACCAGGATACATTTCCTTCACCTCAGCATTTTTGAAGAAATTCTTTATAGCAACTGCCCTCTGAGAGGATAAAGATCTGATAACTTGTTTAACAACCAATATATTTTTGTATATGCAGGTTGAAGATTTTTTCAGGAAAATATCTCCACTGACTTTTACTTTTCATGAGGATCAAGAAAAAGATTTCCAGTCAAATGAAAAGCCTGAGAAGGAAAATGCCCAGCTAGTACAAATGGAGGATTTATTTAGCCAGCTGTTATTGGATGTGAGCACAATATTTGATAAAAGCTTTGCTTTTTTCAAACAGATGCAAAAAGAATTTGATCAATCTTTTCAAATATATTTTGTGTCTGATCTGGACTTTACTGAACCCTACTATATGCCTGCTTTCCCTGAGGATCCTGTGGGAAACAGCGGTTTTCAGAAAGATTGGGGTATGCCAGGCTTCCTCCAGATATTTTTTGACTTCAGCAAGACTCTGTTTGAAGGTGTCAGCGAGGTGATTTCTGAAGCAATTGATGGATACACAGAAAGTGAAAGAGATTTGCCAGAGGAAGCCAAAGGTAAGTGTTAGAAGAAGTTAAAACAGACTGTGGTACTAGTAGTATTAAACTTTTATAAGTGTTGGCAATAGTTTTTAAATGATTAGCTATTCAGTTTGAGGCTATAAACAGAATAGCACATCTTGTATGAAGGTCTGCAAGCCCTCTTAAATAAGCAGATATGGGTCAAATATAACTTTGTTGGCCACATGAAAATTTGGAATAATAAAACAAAAGACAAAATGCCAAATTCTCCAGGTCCATTGAATGCTAGTTTAGGGTTTATGATTCCTAGAATAATTCTCCAAGCATTTGCAGGAATTCTTGAGTGTTCAGTGCAGATATAGATTTTCATGTGTCTGACTGACAAATCTGAACTCAACATTAGTAAGGAAGAACCACATGTTGTGCTGATGTGTTTCCATTGCTCCTAAAAGGATAAGACATGTCACCAGACCTCACAAAATGTCAGGAAACAGATGTGTCAGTCTGCTGTGACACTGCTAGTAGCTATAACAGGCATCTGATGTGCCAACAAGACACAAAGACACACAGCATTCCAGAAAATGGGAAGAATTCCATTTATGACATCTAAGTTTGTTTTTTGAGGGGGATGATGGCAGTTTTCAAGGAGATGGAGGAGAGTATTATAAGATACACTGTTGGTCCCATCCAGACTCCATTTATAATCACGCAGAGGAGATAGTCTAACTTTTGGCAACAGTAATTCTTTTCAGAAACAGAGTGCACTTTGGGATGCAGTGTTGATCAGAATCCAGTACAGCAGCCAGGGAGAGAAAGATGAGAGCTTGCTTCCTCCAGTTCTCTGCCCTCAGTAACTTTCTGTACCTTTGTACACTATAAAACAAACACAAAAAGGTGTGGTTTGGGAATAATTTAGTTAGTTGCTTTCTCACTGAGGTAGCTGACATCATGTGCAGCATATGTATCCAGCAGCCAAAAGCTGAAGCAGGCAATTATGCATTTGTTTATAAGACTGATTTTCCTCACTCTGAAACATCAAACATACAACAAGGAGTCCTGTGACACCTTAAAGACTCACACATTTATTAGGCGAAAGCTTATGCCCATATACATTTGTTAGTCATTAAGGTACCACATGACTCCTTGTTGTTTCTGCTGAAACAGATTAACATGGATACCTCTCTGAAACTTATCAAAGGTGCAGGTAACCACTGAATCATGATACCAGACAAGATGATCCCAATGATACACTCTGATGGAGCAAAACTCATGTTTCTAAATAATTGGAGTGGACAGTTTTTGGCTTTGGCCTCTAGCATACTGGTTTTTAAATGTACTCGCCAAGAGTTGGATCTTTTTGAACAAGAACTGAAACTATATCATGGTTCTTTAAAATATATTTAAATAATTAAAAAAATATACATGTGTACTTTTTTTATTAAACAACCCCCATTTTAGCAGAATCAAAGCCACTAAGTAGCCTAATCGATTACATCTGATGATGAATTAGTTGGCAGACTGAAGAAACCAACTAAAAAATTAAGTGAATTTACATTTTTCAGTTTTTTAATAAGACAATGTAGGTGAAGTTGTATCATTTCTTGGACCAACTTCTGTTGGTTGAATCTTTTGAGCAACAAAGAGTAAATAACTATAGAAGATATTCGTTTTTTTAAAGATAATTTCAAATGAAAGTACATAAGTCAGAAGAGTATGTATGCATATACTCTCTTTCGCAGACCAAGAATATGAATAGATATGTCCTGTGGTTGTTGGTAAGAATCATCTTGAGGTTAGGTGGTTGTCTATAGGAGACATACCACACTAATACCAACCCTGGTACCTTCCCTTGCAACAAACCCCGTTGCCAGCTTTGTCCACATATTCACTCTGCTGATACCATTATTAGGCCTAACCAAGTGAGTTATAAGATCAAGAATACATATTCCTGCGCATCCAGAAATATAATTTATGCTATCATGTGCCGAAAGTGTCCGTCTGCTATGTACGTTGGACAAACGTCTCAGACACTTCGCCAAAGGATCAATGCCCACAAAACAGATATTAGACAGGATCACAAAGAAAAAACAGTTTCTTGCCATTTCAACCAGAAAAGACACTGTCTCAACGACCTAATTACCTGCATCCTACTCCAGAAGACTTTCAAATCTGCACTTGAAAGGGAATCCTCTGAACTGTCATTCATGCTAAAATTCGACACTCTTTGCGGGGGGCTCAACAAAGACACCAACTACCTTACCCATTACAAAGATAGCTTCCCGAATTATCACCTCTAATACCATTCGCTCACAGACATTTACCTTTCCCCACCTCTAATATCATTAACTCACAGACATTTACCTCCTCCCCCTCCACATCCACTTTCTGTTCTGAAATGTGATTTGTCCTTTTCATATGTGTTTACTTTTTTTTTAATTGTATCCTTTGGTATATATGGTTGTGACTATTTTCTTCCATTGTTTGATCTGAGGAAGTGGGTCTGGCCCATGAAAGCTCATCACCTAATAAACCATCTTGTTAGTCTTTAAAGTGCTACATAGTCCTGTATTTTGTTTTAAATATATGCTAGAACTTATCCGAAAAGAAAATCCGTTATTTTTAAAAAAAAGCTAAATTACTCCAGAGAAGTACTCGATCTTCCCATATCATGACTGCACATTATCACAGGTATTAGTTTTGGCCTGGTCTGCGCTAGGACCTTAGTCTGAAATTAGCCCCTTAAGGTCGATTTTGTAAGCGATGCATCCACACTACCAAGCCTATTATTCTGGAATAAGGGGCAGCGGAATTTGAACTCTGTAGTCCTGATTTTCATGAAGAATAATGCTATTCCCAAACTTGTAAGTCCAAAATAATATTAATGTGGACACTCTGGTGCCACTAATTCAAACTAATTTTCCTCCAGGAGGCCTCCAACAGCAATCCAGAGTGCTTCCTGGGGCTCTGAGCTTTCCACATAAATGGAGTCTGCCTCAGACTACATTTGATTCTTTCCCATAGTGAGGACATGGAATTTCAAATTTGTAAAACTGGGTGTCTAGAAGTCGAATTTAGTAATTAGAAATAATCTCCTAGGCTATGTCTAGACTGCAAGCCTCTTTCGAAAGAGGCTTTTTCGAAAGACACTTTTGAAAAAGCCTCTTTCGAAAAAGAGCGTCTAGACTGCAAGCGGAACTTTCGAAAAAGCAAGCCGCTTTTTCGAAAGGCAGTCTGGATGCTCTCTTTTGAAAAACCCCTGTTTGCATTCAAGAACGTCTTTTTTTGAAAGAGCACTTTCAAAAGAAGGCGTTCTTCCTCGTAAAATGAGGTTTACCACCGTCGAAAGAAAAGCCGCATTCTTTCGATTTAATTTCGAAAGAACGCGGCTGCAGTCTAGACGCAGGTGAAGTTTTTTCGGAAAAAGGCTACTTTTTCGGAAAAAAACCCTGAGTCTGGACACAGCCCTAGTGTAGACATGGCCTTTGTGATTCCACTCTCATCTAATAGTAAAGAAGGTGAAAGTGGTTGCAATCCTTGGAAGTTGCAGCCTGCAAGTTAAGAACCCACAGAATAATTTGGTATATTTTTATAAGGGATCATACAATAGTGACATGTACTGTTTAAAGGGGAGCATGTTTTGGTTGCTATTGCTCTGGTCTTATGCTCATTCATTTTGAATTCAGATCTGGAAGTTTTATTTAAAAAAAAAATAATGGAATGGGAAAAAACATTATATCAATAGACCCCTAACTTCAGTGAGCTCACATTATACTGTACATTCACTTTAGATTCTGACAGAAGTGGCATGCTTTCAAAAATCATCCCAGGACATAAGAGAATGCTGTGTAAAGAGCTCCGTCAGAATTCATCAGGATGCCCACAGTTTCAAGAGAGATGCCAGAAATGTCAGGATAACCTAATGAAAGGTAAATAGTTATTTTCTAGTGTGTTTATATACTACCATGTTAAAGTAGTGACTTTTTTATGACAGATTTTGGTGCTATCATTTTCTACTGTCCTATTTACATAATTAAGTTTCAACTCCTGCAGATTTACTATTATCATGAATTAAAAACCAGAGAGTTGATCCAAATGATTTCATGTACTCTTATCCAATGTGTCCACACAGTGTCAGTATAACTCAGTTGTTAGCACTCTTGTCTCAGTTCCAAAGTGAGGTTCCACACCAAGAAATGTATGTATTTTAAGATGCCATCCTCCTGATAACACAAGGGGTCAGATTGTGATTGGCTCTAACTGGTGCAAAATTGCAGAGGGGGTACCAGTTGATCCTAAAGTGCCCTATGCTCTTTTACAGGGCCAGCTGTAATTTTACAGCTGGACTCTGTTACAGGGCCAGCTGTAATTTTATTTGGGATTCAATTCCTCAAAGAGAAAGTGAGGGCTAAATAAGCCATGGCTATACCTTGGGGTGTTTCTTTCACAAGCCAGCAGAGCTGAGCCTGGGGAGGGCATACTGTACCATGTAAAAGGGTGGCAGAGCTCTGGCACACTCTCCAAAAGACTTAAGAGGAATTCTGGCTGAATCAGTTAGAAGTTCAATGGAGACTCCTGCTACAGTATGGTACATCTGTAGCCACCCCGTCTTTTCCCCAAACTAGTGGTGCCTTAAAAACTATAGTGCTGCCTTAAAAGCATAATTAAAAATACAACAATTCAAAATACTGAATGAGAAACATGAAATACAAATGTGACTAGTCAGTTTTAGTGACTCCCCTGGGAATTTTAATGATGTTAGGATTGGGTTCATTTTATTTACTAGCATGGAAATTAAAATAGAGCCACAAAGAGTTCTTTGAAGGAGTTTTTAATGGTACATTGTGGGCCAAATTCTAATTTCATGTGCAATGAGCATTGCTGTTTACAGAACCTATAAAACCACCAATACGGATACAAGTTCAGTAACAGATACATCTAGATACATACTAAAAGTTTATTGCTCCTCTAAACTAAAATTGGATCTTAAAATTCAACAGTACTAAAAGCTAACAGCATATATTATAGTCTCATTTGCAATGAACAAATAAAGAGCTACAGGCAATTAAAGCAGATGATAGTCAACTTATACACTAACATAACTCTCTCTCTCTCTAGTAATGGCAAGGTTTGCATTTAGCAGACCACACTATTCAGTTACCATGAAGGACAGGTGACTCTAAGTATCATTTATCTAACCTAAATCCATTGAAATACTTTGGCAAAAATTACATTAGATTTCTTTTTGAAAACCCATCCTTGAAATAAAACCTATATCTGTACTTTTATACACAAAAATAAGTGTAAAAATGAATGCTTTCCAATAAAGTTTAATGTTGGTTTATTTTTTAACCAGAGTGCCCAAACGTCCCTGAACTACACATAAAGTTTGATGAAGCCTTTAAGCTGGTTAACGTCTCGGATGAACAGTATAAGCAGATCCTCCAGGTGGTTCAGCGTCACACAGAAGACACTTCCTACTTGTTGAGCAAAATGAAAGAAAGTTTTGGGTGGGTGTCGGAACTATCCAACGTGACCATCGGACCAGAAAACATTTTCAATATTGTAAAGGTAAAGGTTAGTTATTAAAAGGGACGTAACTACTGCACAGTGAGGTTGGTGCTCTATATTTAACTCATTCTTAAGCTTAAGGACAGATTGGAAGGGTAGTGTATGTTGTGTGTGTTATTTTTGGTCTGTAAAACATTAAGCTCTTACTAAGGTTGATTTTAAATATACTTGATAATCCCTTGATGATCTGAAACTCCAGAGATTAGAAACTATTCTACTCTAAATCCTTTTAGTATGATGGATAACTGACTGGGCCGACCTAAATCATTGCCTGACAAGAGTAAGTTGGCACTAACAGGTTTGATTGTCCCCAGATTACCTTTCCAGAAGAAGGGAGGCTCTGTCAAGGGGTAACATGAAACAATACAGGTTTATTATATCACTATAACAAAATTAGAACTCTAGTATCAAAAACGTAAAGAACTTTACTACAACATAGGTTGTATGACACACAAAAATAATCCAGTAAATATTTATAAATAATCAGAGATCTTTCACACAGTGATGTAACAAAATAAATAATGCTAATTTGTACTAGAATAGGGACAAAATACTGCTGTAAACCTTCTGCTGCTGTCTCTGCATTGATCGTGTATAGAATAATTGGTCATGCCATTACCACGGTACAGTCTGCACGTATTCTTTCCTCCATAGCATCTCTCAGGAGTAGCATTGTATTTTCCTCAGTACTTATAGTTTCATTTGTATAAAAAATGTGACTGCAGTTTCTAAGGGCTTTGATCCTGAGACAGCACCCAATGCTGGTAGAATTAATGCAGTAGAGCTGTCTTTTGATTAAGAAAAACATGGAGGACAAACAATAGTTCTGAACATTTTTTTCAATCTGACTTCAAGTTGTCTGCTTCGGAAAATATAGAGTAACTAATCTCATGAATCATTCCTTTACATTAATAGGATGACTCCTGTGCCTATATGTTTGCAAATTGGGCCCCTTGTTGTCACATAGCTAAGAAATAAGAGAGCAGAAAGGTTTTTTAAATGAAGTAATACATAGCAAGAATAAAGCACAGTACAATCACTAATGTGCACATCTCCATCATGGCAATGAAGAGCATTATTACCACACCTGCTCCCCTGTTTAAGAATCTAGAAAGCTACAGCTCACTTCAGAAGAAAGCCACTTGATGAAAACACTCATGTTTAAAGAGGCTCTCCCTTTTCATTTTTCATTCTGAAAGTGAGAGGAAGCAAAACAGGTATTAACAAATTGACAACACATACTGGGTTACAGTAATCAAACCAGGTTGTTCTATTTCAGGTATCACCAAGTGTCCAAGAAGCAGATTCTTTCAGTCTGAATGGAACAGTGGTCGATGTGAATATTCTGACTTCTCCTACTTTTACAATTAAAGTTCCTCATAATTTAAACATAGGGAGTTCTGAATTCATTGAATATGTAGCTGGGAAAGCTCTGCAACTTTACAAGCAGAATTTTTAAGGAGGTAAGTTATTTGTCCTTGTGTAGTGAACTTAAAACTTAGTAGTATCCATCTCTTTTTTCTGCATTGTAACTGACTTAAGCTGGAACAAGATTAGGTCTATTATACAATCTATGCCTGTCTCTCCATTAGAGAGATGGAAGATAAAAGTAGTATGAAAAACAAAACCAAATTTCTTGGTCTGTAACATTCAGACCTGTCATGCTTATGGCCATAGATCACATTTATTTATTTATTAGATCCTCTCACTCTAGGTAATATCTAGGACAAGATAATATTGAGGCAAGTGTTCTGTGCAAAGATAATTGTGTCACAACTACAGAACAGCTCTCCAGTGCTCTGTCATTAGATACCTTACATTCATGTTCCTTAATCAAAAAGAAAAGACCACTGATCCGTCTGATCATCGTTTAGGCCATCTTGCTCTGCTTGACACTTTTTAAATAAAGAGGACGAATTCAGAATAGATGTATTGACATGTAAGAGCTCATTATAATATTGTGCTATACGAACTTGGGATAAATATTGCTCTTTAGATTCACCTACAAAGTAGAAGCATCCATGTTTCCTCCCACCATTTGTGTGGAAGGGGGCACATGGCCGTCCTCCCTCCTCTGGGTCTCACAGAGGCTGCACTGCATGTTTAGGGATCTCCTGGAGGGAAAGGCAGGCTGGAGAGATGCATGATGTTCTCTAACCTGGCAGAGATTCTCCAGAAAAGATAGTTATTACCTATTCCGTGGAACCTCCCTCACAGTTCTGAGTTGCACTGAGAATGGGACCTGCTCTGTGAAGGCACAGGCCTTTCTACAAATGACCCCGGCATCCCATGGTTCCATTAAGAGTGCATTCGGCTGGGGCAGATTGTATGACCTTTAGGTAGGGATGAGGCGGGCAAATCCTATCCTTGACAGAGTCATGTGAGGGGGAAGAAATCTTTGTAAATGGGTGAGGGGATTCTCGCATAGATTTCTAGTGTTGCCAACTCCGAATTTTAATCAAAAGTGTAATAGTGGGTGTTTTCTTTAAAGCCCCAGCTCCTGGAGTTTTTGATTATTTGAGAATTTCAGCCCATTTAAAAAAAAAATATGTTTCAGGTCTGCAGAGGAAAAGCTGGAAAATGGGGCCTGAGCTCATTAGAAAGGCTCAAAAACCAGCAAGCAAATAAAAAGAACACAGCACAGAGTATACTTTAAAAATCACATGATGTTCAATGCAATCTCATAATTTTCTGGGGCCTGACTCAGGATTTTTGAACACTGGGGATTGGCAATATTGAATTTTTTCCCCAGAGTCCCTTCCTGCAGAAGAACGAACAGGGCCTTTGACTGTACATATAACATAGTAAAACAAGACTATCCTGAACTTTGATTTGGCTATGTTGGTGCATATTACATCAGAAATGTACACAGAAGTGAGCCATTTTACAGGGAAATAAGAAATCTCATTTCACCATGGGTTGTTTCTTTATAGCTATTGCTGCTATTAGATCTAACTATTAGCAATAATCACTCTTTTTTCACCTCACACAAACCTAAGTTTGAGAACACTAAGTACTAGAAGCCTAATGGTAATACCGTATTTTCTGGCGTATAAGGCTACTGGGCGTATAAGACGACCCCCTAATTTTTTAGTTAAAAGATAGGGTTTCGTCTTATACCCCAGTGCCCCTCCGCCTCCCCGGCTTTGCTCCCAGTGTCCCTGGTCTGCTGGAGACGGTCCCCAGCAGACCAGGGACACCGGGAGCAAAGCCTCTGAGGATGCCCCGGCAGCAGGACAGCCGCGGCACGCCTGGGCTGCCCCGCCGCCGGCCTTCCCCCGGGACTTCCCCGGCAGCAGGCCAGCCCGGGCGCGCCTGGGCTGCCCCGCCGCCGGCTTCCCCCGAGGCTTTGCAAAGCCACAAAGCTGTATACCCGGCGTATAAGACGACCCCTGATTTTTGGGGGATGTTTTTTAACATCAAAAGTCATCTTATACACCGGAAAATACGGTAATCTGAACTCCCGTAGAGAGGGCCTGAATCCTTGTTCCATTACTGATCCTGCTGTGCAATGCACTTTTGTGGTCATTTTCATACCTCAGTGAAATGAGTGAAAAGATGGAATAATTACTATCCAGTCATAATAGTAGCCCTTTACACCAGTGTGCATACATGACTACACACAGGTTATTTATTAGCATGAAAGAAAATAATGATGGGGGAATCCAGAGGATCCTTTGTTTAAAAGGAAAAAAGTACACATTTCAGTATGAAACCAACTCTCTTTTTTTGTTGTATGTTCACTCAATAGGAAGATGTGTCCACTATCATGTGTTATTAATTTATGAGACACCTTTTTTTAGTCCAAAAATAGAAAAAAGATAGGTGTTTCACAAACATCCTATGATCACTGACATACTGCACAGTGCAAACCTTATTTCCCCCTTAGGCAAGAAGATGTGTGGAATATCATCCACTTCAAATTCAGCATCCTCTCCTTATAGTGAAGTACAGTACTTCAAAGTTCAATGTAAAAAGAATTGTTCTACAAATAGGGTTTTTTTAATGTTTCCTTTCAAACAATATATTATTGAATAAATATTGTGACATGTCAAATATTCAATATTTACTGTAATTTAATTGCATGGCAAATTAAAATCCACATAAATGCATATTCAATTAAAAGGAAAAATTATATGGAAGTATGGTATAATGGTATGGTTATGTTGTTCTTGGTTATCATTTTTTATCCCAACCTTACAAAGACTTGTGCGCACGCTCAGTTTCAACCATGAAAGTTGTCTTCATTGCCCTAAATGCTATTATTTGCATGCTTAAAATTAAACACATAGACTCATAGACTTTATGGTCAGAAGAGACCATTATGATCATCTAGTCTGACCCCCTGCACTGTGCAGGCCACAAAATCTCACCCACCCCTCCTAGAATAATCCTCCCACCTATATCTCAGATATTGAAGCCCTCAAATACTTTGAAGACCCTAAGATGCAGAGAATCCTCCAGCTGTGATCTGTACCCCATGCTACAGAGGAAGACGAAAAACCTCCAGGGCCTCTGCCAATCTACCCTGGAGGAAAATTCCTTCCCGACCCCAAATATGGCGATCAGCTAAACCCTGAGCATGTGGGCAAGACTCATCAGCCAGACACCCAGAAAGTTCTCTATAGTAACGCCTATCATCCCTCCATTGACCTATTTCCCACTGATAATGAATGGTCAATTAGTTACCAAGATCATGTTATCTCATCAAACCATCCCCTTCATAAACCCATCTAGTTTAATCTTGAAGCCAGATAGATCTTTTGCCCCCACTACTGCCCTTGGAAGGCCGTTCCAGAACCTCACTCCTCTAATGGTTAGAAACCTTCGTCTAATCTCAAGTCTAAACTTCCTACTAGCCAGCTTATATCCATTTGTTCTTGTGTCCACATTGGTATTGAGCTTAAATAATTCCTCTCCCTCCCTGGTATTTATCCCTCTAATATATTTAAAAAGTGCAATCATGTCCCCCCCTCAGCCTTCTTTTGGTTAA